AGCTGTGATGAATAACATTTCCTATAATTTTTAACTGTAAAGTCAAAGTTTAATGTAAACTAATTAATGTTTTCTCCATGTTGCTCAATTTATTACAAAATTTCAAGAAGGACTAGAGAGTTTATTTTCATTTTTATGCTCATAACTAATCCCTCCTGGGAAATTGACATAACACACATTAATGGGTCCAGGAAAATCAGAGCATCTTTGTCTTTGAAAACTAGAGTAATTTTCTGAATAGAAATGATGCCAATGAGAAAACTTAATAAACAGGCTTTTATTACTTAACTATCTCCTGTTTTCTTTTGGCTTTCTATACAGAAAACCTCTTATTGATCTTTTTCTCTAAAATTGACCTATATCCAGCCTGCATCATCTTTCACCTGCACGACTAAAATTTTTGTAATTCTTGAAAGTTCTTCACCACTACCATGTGTATCTCTAGTACATGACCTTAAGAGGAGAGAGATTGGCCATGGGAGGGTGGAAATCCACAATTCTATTTCCAGGGGCAGCAAAGATGGAGTAACTGTACAGCTTACTGTACCTTGTATTGCAACTATAACCCTGGGACCAATATAAGGGTGAACTGCCCGAGTGTGCTGCAAAGAAAACTTTGGCCATGGGTGTAAAAGGGAAGGAAATTGAGAACAACCTACATCTGGTGAGCTTCTGAGGGACTGCAGCCATGGTCACTGGTTGTTCTTTGTTACAGTGGACAAACTAACCCTCCTAAAAAACCAAGAGAGACTCTCCTTCCAGCCGTAGGACTAAAGAAGAGCTAATGAGGGATGAAGAAGTGACCTCACTCATTTTTCAAGATTCCCTTACCATTTCTTTTTGGTAATTATCACAGAAAAATAGCGTAGATTTTTCAAATCAAAATTATTTATTAGGAACTAGAGGGTTTCAGAATGGACTGAAGTTCAGACTCAAGAGAGTCTTGTGAGCAATATGTATTCTCCATGTAGAAAGTTACCTGATAGATCAGCATTCTCCAACTTAGCATAGGGCATTTGCATTTTAAAAGCACCCCAAGTGACTCTTCTGTTGTATGAACATGAGTCAGCAAACTAGCATTTGAAAGAAGCATTTTCACCACATTTCCATATATCTATATCTATATCTATATATCTATATCTATCTATCTATCTATCTATCTATAGATAGATAGATAGATAGATAGATAGATAGATAGATAGATAGATAGATAGATGCCACATGCCAGCCCTTTTTATTTTTTAATTTTGAGGCAGCATCTTACCAATTTGCTTAGAGCCTCTTAATGTTGCTGAGGCTGGCCTTGAACCTATCATCTTCCTGCCTCAGCCTCCCAAGTAAATGGGATTACAGGAATGCACCACATGTCGGGCTCTGTCTACTGATATTTTCAACACAGTTAATTACTTAGAACAGTGCAGCACACATAGGAGATCATAACCCAATTCTTTGATTATGTGTCCTAGAAACTAGTAAGGTAAGACCAGGCAAGATAAAGGTGGAAAACAGACCACAGGGCTTGAATTTCAAGTCTGGATGTGACCTATGATTGACAGACAAGTCACAGGCCTGAGGCACTTGTGCACACAGTTAACATAGCAGGCTGAGGGCACTGACAGTGAGCACCACAGGCTACACCCACTGAGAAGGCCTTTGCAGAGGAAGTGGGACATGAGAATACTTGTGACCTAGAGGAATTGAAAGGAGGAAAAATCCAATTCTGAATCAGAGCACAGTGCAAATGCAAAACTCAGATCAGAAGCGGTGGACAGGAGGGGCTGCTGGACAGGGGTGGTTAGAGAGGCCGACTAAGTCTGGTGGAGACAACTGGACAATAATATCCTGTGCATTGAGCCTGGGGGAAGCTCTCGGGTGAGGGAGCCATGGGGCAAGGTGACATCACCAAGAGCAGAATGTCAAGGGCAGCGTCATCAGCCACAGGAGAGGAATTGCTCTATCATGGCCTGAGCACCCTGGTTCTGGGCCACGAGATGTAGTGGGAGCCTCACATTGACCAGAAATGTGAATCCAACTGTATGGAGAGGTCAGGGAGGCAAACGTCCTGGACACCTAACAGCAAGTTCCTGACAGTCACCACAGAGGTGCAGGCCAAGGCTTCCTGGTGCTCCACACTCAGGGCAGCTGCTCTACTCAATCTTCCCCAGAGTTGCACATTGTCCCACGACTGTGCTGGAGATGAGGCTTTGATACACTGATGAGAAACAGGGCTGAGCAGTAAGGAAGCAGTGTGTGCAGCCGAGACTCGCTGACCGAGGCCCTGGGGAGGATGTGTGTAGGAGGCCAAAGCACTGTGGCAGGAGCAGAGAGCAAATGTGAGTGCAGGAATCATCCAGGTCCTCAGCCTGGGGCTGCTGATGGTGAGAGTGAAATCTGTCCCTGTCCCACTGCCACTGAACCTGCATGGGGCCCCAGGGCCCTGGGTGGATGTCTCCAGTTAGGGTCAGGTCTCTGCTCTTCCTAGTCCAAGGCTTCCTTCTGGTTGGACACAATACTGGCTGGAGGGGCTGGGCTTGAGGCTCAGAGGTAAGCACTCACCTAGCACGCATGAGGCACTAGGTTTGATCCTTTGCACCACATAAAATAAAATAAAGACATGTGTCCACCTATAAATATTAAAAATAAAAATCCTGGCTGGACTTGCTGCTGATGGTGACCTGCTCTTGGGCAGATACAGCCAGGGAGCCTGGAGACTGATCATCACAAGGTCCCCACAGGTCCCTGCAATCAAGAATGTACAAGGACCACATACCAACTACCAGTGTATTAAAATATTTCTCAAGTGTAGATTTTCTGATTCTTAACAAAGAATTGGATTGGTTTATACAATTTTTCTTTGTGCATGTTGCAGTCACTGTGTACTTTTGTAAGGATCACACTTGTGTGAACCTCTCAGCTGAGCCCCAGAGCACCAAGCAGAAGAGGATCTGGGCTATGTCACCATCTTGCTGGTGCTCACCATCTGTACTCAGGCCCCATCTCTAGGGAAAATGTATTTACAGAGCTCTGAGCAGCTGGTCTTGATCCCCCAGGGCCCTGCCAAACACCAGAGTGTCAAAGCAAAGTCCACCTGTGGAGAAGCCAGAGAACAGGTGTAAGAGAGGACAAAATAGGGCCAGAGACAAAGGAGAAGGATCACGTGACAAGAAAATGACCAGAAATCCAGGTGCAGCTGCAGTTTTCATCAACCTTCCCAAATGACATGTTCTTATGAACTGTCTGCTTTCAACTCTGCTGCAGTTGGGAAAAAAGAGTCATTTTACATCACACTCTCAGTGCAGGTGAGCACAAACTTCCAAACATTATTGAAACATTTACATGTGGTGTCGGTGCATGGAATATGCTCCTGTCACTGGACACAATAAGGACAGAGAGCACAACCTCTGTCTCTGTCCCAGGTCTCTTCTGAACTTCAAATACACAATTCAAGTTCCTCTTTGGCCACTAGAAGGCACCAGGTCACCTCTACCCAGCCCTCTGGTGCTGAGAGAAAGAGAGAGAGAGAGAGAGAGAGAGAGAGAGAGAGAGAGAGAGAGAGTCAGTCCACTTGCCAGATATAACATACCCTAAAGACAAGCCCTCAATGACCCACATCCTCTGGCCACACCCTACCAGCCTACAGTTACCACTCAGTTAATCTCAACAGAGGATTATTTCACTGATTGGCTTAAGAGCCTCACAAACTAATCATTTCTCCTCTAAAACTTCTTGCATTGTCTCACACATGAGCTTTTGGGAAACACCTCATATCCAAATAATCACGATACACTTGTTCAAAACCAGCCCCCAGCTGTCATCCTCACCTACCCTCCTTGACCCACTCTCTTTAACATACCCACCACCTGATCCACTCTGACACCCCTCTTTGGCCACCATGATATCTTTCTCCCTGCATGGGTGTCTTTCTCATCATGCCTGGGATGTCTCCTTTGCAGGGGACTCCTATCCCTCTTAGTGTCCTACTTGTCTCTCTCCACTTGGACATCCACATCTGGAAAATACTACCATCCCCCTCCATGTGGGGACACCCTCAGGACCCCTCTGAGACTGCAAGTCCCCATGCAGGCTTCCCACACCCACATGCTTCCCTTGCACCCTGCCTAGTCCCCACTGTTCTAAACCAGGCACTGAGAACTGAGTTCTCTTAGGAGCTGACTGACATTTGAGATGTGGAATATGCAGTTTAGGAAACACAGCAGAATATCAGTGGCACTTGGAGGACATAGGATGTCTACTTCTGAAGGCAATGACTTGGTTTGCCAGAGGAGAGAGAATAGGAGTAATGCTCTGAGTAGCCAGGGAACAGAAGTCATGCACATATGTCATCTTGAGGTGAGCTAGAGAGGAAGCTCATGCTCCCCATATGGGAAAGAAGATACCCCCTGGCTTTGGGTGGAAGTCAACTACTTCCAGAGCATTTATAAATGGAGGAAGGCAACTTTCTTAGCTGTAGTCATGAGATTGAATAAAAGCAAATGACACCCTCCATTATAAGATGTGACTGCCCATGTTTTCTTATTGCCTCTCTACTTCAAATCATGAGTATTGGGGAATGAGAGCAAAGGGAAAGCTTCTCTGTGTCAGTGGTTTCTGTAAATGCAATGGAAAGTAGCTGGTAAACTGTCCTGCAGTGTCTGGGATTGTGTCATCAAGGCCAGCCCCTGTCATAGAAGAAAGAAAGCAAGTTCAGCCAGGCTCTGAACTTGGAAGAGATCAAGATAACAAGCCTCTCAGGGGTACTTGACAGAGGTGGTCTTGTGGCCCAAATAGAAGCAGAGTATCTGTGTTGCCCTGGAACATGGGGGGGTGTGATGGTTCTGTGCTGAGTGAATGAGAGGAGCAGCCCTGCAGCTGTGCCCAGCCTGCCCAGTCCTGCTGATTTGCATGTGCCCTCAGCACAGCCCACTACCCTGAGGACTTCTTAAGAGGCTTCTCACACCCTGTGCAGGAGTCAGTCCCAGTCAGGACACAGCATGGCCATGAGGGCCCCTGCTAAGCTCCTGGGGCTCCTGCTGCTCTGCCTCCCAGGTAAGGAGGGTCAGCACTGGGTATTATTCAGCCCTGTGTGGTCAGTGCTGATGGGATCTTGAGGGAAATCCTCTTATAACACTATTAATTGTGCATACATTTCTTTTCATGTGTCTAACTTCAGGTGCCAGATGTGACATCACAATGACCCAGTCTCCATCCTACCTGTCTAAATCTCCAGGAGAAAGAGTCACCATCACATGCAGGGCAAGTCAGGGCATCAGCAGTTACTTAAACTGGTACCAGCAAAAACCAGGTCAATCTCCTAAGCGTCTCATCTATGGTGCATCCAATCTGCAATCTGGTGTTCCCTCAAGATTCAGTGGGAGTGGATCTGGGACAGATTTCACTCTCACCATCAGCAGCCTGGAGCCTGAAGATTTTGCCACTTATTACTGTTTACAGTATGATAAGCTCCCTCCCACAGTGATACAGGCCATGACAAAAACCTCCCAGGGAGCAGAAGTGTGAGGCTGGGCTGCCTCAGCTGCTCCTCCTGCTGCCTCTACCTCCTGTGGGCACTTCTCAGGGGCAGTCAGGCTCTGAAGTGCACTGGGGGGTTTTGGTAGAAGGGACCAGCATAGCTCCTCTGCAGCCTCCCTCTCCCTCTTCTTCAGCTGCAACAGCACATACTTGCCAATGTTTCTTCTGGTTTAAATAACAAATTTGATCCATAGACATTGAGAGTCTGAATTCAGTATCAGTCCGGATTCATATGAAAAAAAACTGAAGCCACCTCAGATTTCCAAGTGGTGCTTGCTTTATACAGGGAGTTAGAGTCTACATTATAGTCATGATCTTCCTTGGCAGGTCAGGCAGACAGCTGAGATGATATGAAAAACAGGGCTTTGTCTGGTGCCCCTGAGCCACACCTTGTCTGAAACTGGAGGCATGGGACTCCTGACCATGGGGTTAGTGAATGGGTAGATCTGGTTCTCTCAGCTGCCTGCATCATATAACCTCATGATTCTGCAGAGCTCACCTTACCTCTGTCCATTCATCTGCCTACTGGTGCTGGAGGATACTGAATTCTCCTATTTAGACTCTTAATCCTGAGGGAGGCATATCTCAGATAAATTGTCCTAGTTTCCAAGAAACCACAGGGTAAAACAGAATAAGAAATATGATTCTAATGAGAGATGGCAAGCTGGGAACAGAAAACAGTGACCCTGCATAATCACTGTTGCTCCAACTCTCAGAATTTCACTAGCAGAGGATGGACTCATACTATGTGAGGATCCTTTCTCCAGGGTTGTCAGCAATTCTGGGATCACATTGGAAAAATTTATCAAGTTCCACAGTAAGTAGATAATGAAGAATTGTATTAAACATGCAGTTTTATGATAACATATATAGAGATACAATTTAAACTAATGAATACACATTTAATATTCATTTTTATTAAAATACATGTGTATTCCTGATGGTAATTGTTGCAGAAGCTAATTTATAGAAAGAACTGCCAAATTCATGGAATCTAAAGAGTGTACATTTGTTTTTTTTCTGTCAGGCCTGATCTAAGATGGTGAGATCAAGAGATGATGGGATGAACATTCAACAAGAAAATGAAAAATTGGCCAGCAGACTGACCCATTCAGTGTCTCCCAGGGAGTAATACATTCTCAGCAGGCAAATGGGTGCTGTCTTAGTCTGAGATGGGACATACAGGGACAGTGGACCTGTGTGCTTAGTTATTGAGAAGAGCCCACCCTGCAGCTGTGCCCAGCCCTGCCCAGCCCTGCTGATTTGCATGTGCCCACAGCACAGCCCACTAGCCTGATGATGTGTTAAGAGGTGCTCACACCCCGTGCAGAAGTCAGTCCCTGTCAGGACACAGCATGGCCATGAGGGCCCCTGATCAGCTCCTGGGGCTCCTGCTGCTCTGCCTCCAAGGTAAGGAGCAGGTCCCATAATAAACATCTCATTATTAATGGCTCTTAAATCTTGCAATAATCTCCATTTACCAGATTTCTTTTTGATGACAAAAATGGGTGCTGATAACGCCAAGGTCGCGGGTTCGTTCCCCGTATGGGCCACCAAATGCCGCAGTCTGGCTGGGCACAATCAGGAGCCACTTGTCAAAAGAAACTAACTTTATTTTTAGAACCACACACGCCAAACAAAACAGCTCCTCAGGAAAAACCCTCAGAACCCCAACTGCCACCACAGGCTTCCCACAAGCCTCTCTCTCGACCACAAGCCTCACCACCTCCCACCATCCTCCTGCTCTTGAGGCCGATTGGCTGGGTAGCGTGGGCGGAGAAAAAAAATCCCCCAGTGAGCAGCTCTGTGGTCTGAAAGGGCAGGGAAACAGCCCAATGAGCATCACCGCAGAGGAGCCAATCAGCTAGATGTTGCTGGGGCCACTGTGAGCCAATCATCAGCCGGCAGCTGGAAGTTTGCTGGCAGCTGGAAGTTTGCTGGGGCCCCTTCGGCTGTGGCTCTCAACACTGTAGCCCTCTTGAGGTTATGAGGCATTACTAAGAATTAAAAGGCCCTGTGGTAATACTGGAAAAGCAGAGATATGTAAGGATTCAGAATATTTGCTGTTTTTCCACAATGCTGGACCAGCCCTATATTGTCTAATCTTCTATACTCTTTTCAATTGTTTGTAAATTTATTCTTCTCCTAGAAGACAGTTAAGAGGAAGAGCATGTATGGCGTTATACCTGTTGTTCTGGAAAATATGGCCACCATGATGGGTATGAGTGTGCTCTGTGGGACCCTGAGGCAGGGAGGGCTGGGTCCATGGGTGGGTCCCTCCTTCCCTGACTCTTACCCATGCTGGACTAATGTCCAGAAAAGCCAAACACCTCAGTGAGTTCATACATCTTCCTCTCTTACTGCCTTTATTTCTGTTTTTACCTCCAAATCATAAACCGCCCCTTTGCTTCTGTAATGCTTGCTCTTCCTCAGGTCACAAACACAGAACTGTGCTTAACACAAAAGGACAGCATGTCCTGAAACAGAAATTGACTACAGATCTCCCCTCATAGCTCAGGGGGCTGACTGTGTCCTGTGGCCCCAAGAACCACGCTCACCCCAAGAAAATCTGAGCTGCCCTGGTCTGACCTGGGACAATGGACACACTGAGCCTGCATTGATTGACCAGAAGAAACCCACCCTGCAGCTGTGCCCAGCCTGTCCAGCCCTGCTGATTTGCATGTGCCCATAGCACAGCCCACTGCTCTGAGGACTTCTTAAGATGCTGCTTACACCCTGTGCAGGAGTCAGTCTGAATCAGGACAAAGCATGGCCATGAGAGTCCCTGCTCAGCTCCTGGGGCTCTTGATGCTCTGCCTCCCAGGTGAGGAGGGACAGCATTGGGGATTTACTAATCACAGTGTGTTCAGTGCTGGCTGGCTACTCAGGAAAGTCCTTTTGCTACATAAAGCTCATAAGAATATTTCTTTTTATGTTTCCAATGGCAGGTGTCAGATGTGACATCACAATGACCCAGTCTCCATCCTCCTTGCCTGGGTCTTGTGGAGACAGAGTCACCATCTCCTGCAGTGCCAGTCAGGGCATTAGCAATTATTTACACTGGTATCAGCAGAATCCAGGGCAAAATCCTAAGCTCCTCAACTATGGTGCAAGCAATTTGGAATCTGGGATCCCCTCGAGGTTCACTGGCAGTGGATCTAGGACAGATTAAACTCTCACCATTAGCAGTCTGGAGCCTGAAGATGTTGCCAATTATTACTGTCAACAAGGTAGCAAGGTAGCAGTTTCTCTCCCACAGTGACACAGGCAATGACACAAACCTCCCAGGGAGCAGAAGTGTGAGGCTGGACTGCCCCAGCTGCTCCTCCTGTTGCCTCTACCTGCTGAGGGCATTGCTCAGAGGTACCAGGGTCTCAGGGCCACAGGGAGGGTTTGTGAAAGAATCCAGGGGGGGATCCTCTGCACTCTGACTCTTTCCTTCAGCTCAACCCCAGCAGGTGACCATGATAACAGCCTCAATGACATGGTACAGGAGAGAATTTAGACTTTGAGGGACTCTAATGGAAATAGTTGGTTTCGTGCAGCAAAGACAGGCCTCTCCATGTATTCCACATGTGAATATTTTAAGACTTTGATTTTTAGTGTAGTTTAAGTTCCCAGCAAAATTGGGTGAAGTGTAGAGTTCTCCTGTGCCCACCCTTGCTCCCACAGCCCCTCCACCACCACCCCAGACTCTGTTGCTTCTGTTACAATTCATCAACCTCTACCTATATCTACAGGTCACACCAGGGTCACTTTGTGCATTCTGTGGAAGTAGACAAGTGAAAAATCAGGTGTGTCCTACAGTATGTCCTGGCACAGTGCAGGTCCCGCCTTCACACTGTCTGAGCTCCAGCTGCTCCTCACCCATCCTCTCTGCTGCAGACCTTCATGATTTTCCATTCTATAGTTTCACATGGGCTGAGTGACAACTGCCTGGCACTCACAACATGACAATATTCAGACTGTCCTGTCACCCTGAGTGCTGTGCACACAAACGTCCTTCAGGGGTTTTCACTACAGCATAGAGCGTTGTTTCCTTATTTTCAAAATTTTTCTTCAAATTTGGTATTAAATCCACATACACTACCTGTTAGCTACATTCACAGTCACATTTGTATCTATCTATCTATCTATCTATCTATCTATCTATCTATCTATCTATCTATTTTTTTATACAGGATCTCTCTAAGTTTTTTAGGTCTTTGCTAGGTGGCATAGACACCAACCCTGAGTCTTTTAGCCTGTGGACCTGCAGTGGCACCTGCTGTCCTCTCTTGGGTTAAGAGACCTGGAGACATGGACTGGGAATTCACCTAGGGTCTCTCTCCTTCTGAGGTTTGTGGCCTCTTGGCCTGAGATCCAAAAAGAGATGGGAAAGGCAATGCTGTTTTCAACTTGTTTTGACCAGGCCTTGGAAGAAACAAAGTGGGTGCATTAGGGACAATTCCCTTTTGGAAGAGCTATGGCCATATATTTAAAAATGAGTCAAAATTTAAAATAAGTATTTCCCAAATAAATAATCATATGAAGGTCACTACTGAGCAGGGACTGCCAATAATTAGCATCAACAAATAAAGATTCTACATAGTCATCTACTCACCCATTTAGGCTCATGAACCAATGTCATGGAAGTCCCTCCTTTGGACCCCTACAATATCAGTCTCTTTTCCTCCAGTTCAGGTGACTGCTGGCACTGAAGGCATCCAATTCACCAAGAGAGCTGGACACTCTTGACCCCCATTATTATATCCACACCATGAGACCAGGCTGACACCCGGTGTCCACCTGACCACAGTGGACCTGACCTATACTGGAAGGTTGGCAAGTTTCCCATCTGTGCCTTTGCTTTCAGTCCTGTGTCAGCCAGAAACATGTGTAGATATCTTGAAAGCTTTCATGGGTGCCATAATTCTTACATAAAA